TTGTAAAATCATTCTGTTACTTGTTCAACTGATAAAATAATAGGCTGATTTTTATTTTCTGTTTATGTATATTTTCTGAGAGGAGAGGAGGCTTCTTAGGATATTGGAGGTGTGTTCACTGCTTTTCTGATTACGGATAAGAAAATAAATAACTTCTGTTGTCGAATTTTGTGATCTTTCACTCGTTTCAATAGTGTGAAGCTATTTCATTGGTGTGTGTTCAGCCACAATATTCACACATTTCATATGAAAAGAAGGCTTTGCCCTTGTAAGCAAAATCTTTGAAAGGAGTTAAGTCTAACAGTTTTCTTTCTCATAAGGAAAAGAATTCATCATTTGTAGGTGACAGAATTATAAGCCTGTTTATCTTAAGGCTTAGGCAGTATGAAAGGACATTATATGTTTGGGGGTGAGTGGATGGGGGGAAGGATGCCTAGTACCAGTTTCAGCTGTTACATCGATGTCGGCTTCATTTACTATAAAACAGTAAATTTAAAAGATCATGTTTGTAATGTTAGACAGAAATGTTTTGGAAAAATATGTTCTGTCCTTCAGGACTTTGTGTGCAACCATATTAGCATCTGAATTAAGAAGTGCATTTTTGAAAAAGTCTCCAGATTGTCTTTGCTCTCAGTTTTGTTAATAATGCAGGGGGGGCTTGAAGTGCAGAAACTGGATTCCTTCTGGGTGGAGTTAAGCTGAAAGATGTGCTTCAGCGTTCTTGATGTACTCCAACTGCTGCAGTAGTTCAGTCTGCAGAACTACTAGTTTGAACTACTGAAATGTATGTAGCATGGATATTGCGTCAATGGCACCAGACTTCCCTGTGTTCTAATGTAGACAGGGACTTTTACTTTCTGTTCCTCTTCTCACTGTCGTAGTTAAGTCAGACCTTTGCTATAGGATGTTGGATTTCTGTCCTTTGCATAGGGATATGATCTGAAGCAGGCATGACAGTCTACAGACCAGAGGTTTAAAGGCACGTCTGGTTTTATTTTTTCTCTACTTTTTTTTTCTAAGGGTTGTTTAATTTTGTCTGCTTAATACTTGTTGTTCTGCAGTATTTCATTTCAACTTTAAAAGTGAAATATGATTTGGACTAAACTAAAAGCAACTGTAAAGATGAATTTTAAAAAATCGTGCCCTTACACTATTTTAGAAGTTTAAACAGAAGAAAACTAGGCAGGTGTTGAACTTAGGGAAGGTGAGTACTTAATGTAGGAAAAATTTTGCAAAAGCGTAGTTGTCAACATTCAGATGGATGGAAAGCACTCCCATGTCACTGACTTTTGGGAGCCACTAGAAAATCAGATGAGGGGCACTTAGACTAAAAGTTCATAGGATCCTGTGGAAGAATGAGAAATTGTTAGAAGAAAATAGAGTTTTGTAACTATTCTTCCAGATGTTGATAACTGGTACGTTACCCACCTACATTTTTTTCAGTGTCTCAAGAAAGTAGATAGAAACTGAGCACAATAGCAAGGTTTTTTCCAGGGCAGTTTCACAGTATAATCCAATGTGACCTGGGTTTGCTGCTGAAGTGGGCAGTCCTGCTCTTTCTCCTGCCCTGGCTATGAATTTTCAGCACCTTGCCTGCCCTCAGAGTGGATGATCATATGAATGTGTGGCAAGTGGGATCCAAAGGAAGACTGTTCTTTAAAATTTTATTTGTCTGTGATGATTAGATTTGCTTTGGAGGAGCATGATCATCAACTAAGGCATGATGTGGTGGGTTGACCCTGGCTGGAGGCCAGGTGCCCACTAAAGTTGCTCTATCACTCCCCTCCTTAGCTGGACAGAGGAAAGAAAATTACCACTGAAGGCTTGTGGTTTGACATAAGAACACAGAGATCACTCAGGAATTACCATCATGGGCAAAACAGACTTGGCCTGGGGAATTAATTAAATCTATTACCAGTCAAATCAGAGTAGGATAATGAGAGGACACCACCGAATCTTAAAACACCTTCCTGCCACACAAACCCAGTGTAGGTAAGCACATATAAGGGGATAGCAGGCAATTAGCCAGATGGATTTAAGTATGTTGTGTCTAGATTAGGACATCCCCTGTACCTTGATTTTTTTCTTTTTATATATTCTAGTGATTTGTAGAACCATTTAGCCTAAGATGAGGTTTGCCTGCTATGTACTGTTAAAAATCCTTGTAAGGGCCAGGTGTTCACTGTTGAAGATTACAGCACTTGCTCTGAATTTAGTTAAGAAATGGTATCCTTATAAAATAGTTTCCCAAGGTCACAAATCAGGTTCATGGCCAAGCCAATAATAGTAGGACATCTTTCCTTTCATTCCTGTTTTAATTAGGCTAAACGGTGTTGAAATAGCTCTGGACTGATGGTGAAGCCATTTGCCTAGAACATGCAAGCATGAAAGCACTAGGAAATAATGTAGGGACTGTTGCTATATGGTAGAGGTAGACTGCTTCACTTAGTGCTTCTGAGATGGTTCTAAATTTTTAGGCTCCTATGTTTCTAAAAAAAATTAAAATACATATTTTATAGGTTGTGATGAATTTAGTCGTGGATGGGTCTGTTATATTACAAAGAATAAGCATTTTGCAGTAGTAGCTTTGAATACAGATAATACATTCTCAACTTTAAATGCATGTGTCCTGGTTTGACAAACAAAAGCAGGCAAAGCATTGCCCTAAATTAAAATTTCTTTGTGGTGAAGTATAGAAACACCTTTACTTACATTTGGCCTGGTATTCCTTAATACAGGCTAATGGTGCAAAATGCTGAATAATCAGGAGAAAAAGCAAATTCAGAAGACTTTTTGGTAGTAGTTTGTAGACTTTTTTTTTTTTTTCATTGGTGTGTACATTTTACTCTGAAAATGAATTTTAGGCTAGTTAGGTAAGAGTTAAAAAATGGTAGTAGATAATGTTCCGAGTGTTAGTCACAAAGACACATGCACACTGTTCTGAATTTGCTTTGTATTAAGAACAATATTATAACTCATCTATAGTTCCCATTTAATTTTCTGAAATGCTTTTACCAAAATAAGTTATTTATAAACTAAATGACCAGAATCCCACATATGGGTCTTTTTTGGTTTTACTACCAAAAATGTGCTTTTTTGTGGCCTTTCTAAATGTGCATTAATTCTTCAAACCATCTGGAATGTATATAAAGTCTCTTCATGTACTTTTACTATCAAATAATTCTGAACAACTTTTTTTTTTTTAACTTACTGTGAATAAATTATTATGAAATCTCCTCTGTAATGTAGAGCATGCAGTTTGTTAGAATTGAAGTGTACCATTATCATCTTCTGTAATGTTTTCCAAGTATGCTTTCCATCCATGACAAATAAGAAAGTCCAAGTTTAGGCACTGGCAGTTGTGTAGCAGCATGAATCCAGTAATTAGAGGGAAAGACTTTCAAACGGATTGAGAGAAAAATATTAAGATACACTTGAGAGTAAAAGAGGCTTTGTTATGTGCTCTTTGTTATGCTCAGGTGATTTGTGGTAGGTATGTAGTCTCAAAAGAAAGTGTCCTTTACTCGTGCAGAAAATCTTTCCATTACAAAGTTCTATTTTGTTTTATTTTGAGCACTTCAGAAGATTTAAAGAAATTACAGACTTTTAATGGCTGTTTTATGGTTTTTATGTGTGGTTATTTTCCCTGTTTGAAGAAGTCATTTGCATTAATATGATACCCTTTTACTCATTGCTCAAGAGAATGCTTACTTGCCTGTTGTTCTTAAAAAACAGGTGATTTTTTTTTTTAGCACTAGCAGTTAAATTGACAGTCATAAGCTGATAAGTTGAGGTGTTCAGAGAAATAGTAGAGATGGTAAAGGAGAGGGTATTGAGCTCTTGATAGGTACTCAGAAGTTCTTAAAACCTGTAAAAGGAACTTGCTATCACAAGACTATTTTGAAAGTAATGGGGAGATACAAATTGAAAAGGATGGAAGCCTATATCTTTTAACTGGGTTAATTACGAAGGGGTGGTGTGGTTAGGCAGTTTGAAAGCCGTGTCTGGTGGCAGATAAGGTATGATGACTCAGACATATCAGCTGGCAGATTTTAGGGGACTGATAGTGTCAAGGAGGGAAGCAGTGACAAACAGCTGAGAGTGTTAACTTTTGATACAGGGAGGTCTGAAGGGGTGACTGCCTTTGGCCTCCCTCAGTGTGCTTGCTGCTAGAAAAAGGCACTTTGGAAATAGTAAACACTTTTTGAGGAGAAAATCTGAAACAAATAATGTAAAATGAAAGGGCATAACATAACATGAAGCAGCATAGCTTTTTAACAAAAGCACAGGGTGAAGGTGTTTCCCTTTTATTGTAATGAGTATATGTACAGTGTAACAGTTCCTGGTGTATAAAACTGTCTAGTGAGAATTCCCAGTGTGATACCTTTTTATAAATTAATTATGAATACTCATACAAACAGATCAAGAAATTATCTTGATCCTACGTGGTTGTTTTGGGTTTTTTTGACAAAATTAGTACAGCATACATGGTCTGTGTACTAACATAAGCATACAGATCTGTCAAGCTCAATGAACCTGTTTGTTTCTAAGGTTGTAAGTGAAATTCTTCTGCTATTCTAGTGTTTTATATTCCCATGGCTCACATTTTTTGTAATATAATAAAGCTTTTAAGATTCTACTTTGTCAGAAGATCTACAAGTAAAAGAAATTTGTTTTTTTTAATCTTAGTGTCATAGCAGCATTACCACTCACTTTCTTGAATTTGGAAAATAATTTTAAACATTAAAAATGATTCAAAAGAAGCTTTTTAGTATTACTTTTAACAGACTTTGTAGTGCTTTTTTGTCAATAAGGCTGCACATATTAGTTCACTCGGGTTAACAAAACTTTGTTTTTATTTTACAGAAATAAACATTTAAGCTGTATTTGAGTTTCTTTTGTAGGTGTGTGTTACTGAGATTAAACAATTTATTTCAAGCTTGCTTAATTAGAGTGCAATGTAAAATTTGAGGTTTTACTTGTATTTTAACAGTGAAAACAAGTTGAATACATTGGTGCAGAAACTTCATGACTTCTTGGCTCACTCGTCAGAAGAATCTGAAGACGCGAACAGTCCTCCATCATCTAAAAACAAAACCACAGGTATAAGGAAATGTTATATATTTATTTTCAATGTATGTATTATTCTAAAGTACAGCAACTCTGCTGTTATTTCACTGTACTGCACTTCAGTAGGGCAATTATGCAAATTCCTAATGTGATTTAAGTGTGGATATCTTAATAAATATATAATAGGCCTTTGAGACAGTATTTCTCTTAGTTCTGATTTATTTCTAAAGCTGAAGAAAAGCTAATTCTGTTAGTTATGGACTTTCTGTGGAACATGATCTGGCAAACATGCATGTATTTTGTTGTGCTAGTGGTTCCTTCCTCAGTTTTCCTGAATGTGTAACTGCTGTATCTTGTTTTTTCTGCTGAAGTAAAGTTTTTGCAGTTGTTGTAGAAGTTGCAGAAGTACTTTTGGAGACTGCGCTTTCATAAGTATTTGAAAAAGTTTTCTACATATATTCTGGAAACCTTTGAAAACAATATTTCTGTAAAACCTTGTGTCCTATGCTAGGTCAGGTTTTATATTATAAGTTTTTCTTTACAAGATAGAAATAGGTAACAAATTGTAAACTTGTTTTGGTTACAGTAATAAAAAAATATTTCATAACAGTATTGAATAAAATCTATTTCCAAATTTAACTAGGTGAAATATGTTTCCTACTGAATGAGTTAAAAATGTGCTGAAGTGATACAGTACAGGAGAATGTGTTGGCTCTGTTACAGAGTTTACTTTCAGACTCCTGTTGTCCTAAGCAGTAAACTTATGTGGGTTTTCTGGTGTGCAGTTGTTATCGTTTAATGTTTTCTCTTGAGAGGGTGTCTGCTGCCATGTGGTGCTAACCTCCTTGTGTCAGCATCAAACTGAGCTGTTAACACAGCAAAAAGAAATTAAACTATTCTTGTGGTACTTCAGCAGAATAATAAACTGAACTGTGATGTAGGTGCATCTCAAAGTGAATGTTTGCTGAGAAGTATACTGGGGAAAAAGAAATCTTTTTCCTTTATCCTGTGTAGTTATGAAGTAGAATTTGACTCCTTCCCTTAAAATACACATTTGCTTTGAAATGGGTACACTTACTAATGAACAGCAGGTGTTTCAGTCTTGGTTTTGAGATTTGAATGCAAAATTTACAGATTATCACTGCTAGAATCAGAGAAATCTCTACCAAGCATCTATGAACTTACATTTTCCATAGATTGAGCATGTGGGCGAAATTGGTCAAGAGTAGAAGGTGGCAGTGCCTAGTCTCCAAAATAAATGTCACCCTTCTTCCAAATTTCAGGTTCTTTCCTCAGAATGAGGGAATGCCTGTAGTATTTCAGAGGGGAAATTTCAGGTACTTAACATGGCCAAAAACTTTGTTTCCATTGTTGTTTTTTGTTTTGTTTTGTTATATTTTGCTGTGTCTTAGCTGTGGCTGGATAATTTTGGCTGAAATTTATCCAAACAATTCTGCCCAGGTCAAATACCTGGCATTACATTTTCTAATCAAAGTTACTTAATTTTTTTAAAGTATAAAGTAATTTTTTGTGTTTTTTTCCCAAAACTGAAGTGTGAAGATACAGTCAGACTACCACTTTACTTGGGTGTTTGTCAGTAGTTCATCTATTAAAATACTGATAGCTATTGCTAAGTTTTTGGAGCTACTTCATGCATGTATCATTGAACCACTGATCCTGAAACATTCCCTTCTGCTATCTAGGGTAGTGGATGGAACAGATACTAATAGGTTGCATGTCTTCAGGTTTTATATTCTACAGGTCCAAAGACCTAGAAATGGGAATTGTCTCTCATACTCTGTATCAAATGGGATTTTTGTTTGTATTACCATGATCCCAGATTTAATATTGTGCTTTTAATGTTAAGATATATAAGAGAAAATCAGAGTAACTTGTAAGAGATGAAAAAAGACAGTGCCTATATATTCTTTCAGTATTGTTTCAGTTGCACTTTAATTTCTTCAGTGTTTCTTCACCAGGAGTGGGCAGGCTGCCTTTCAGCCTATCAGGAACTTAATTTCTAAATTATTTCTGTAGAACTTATGCCATATGGTGGGCTGTGTTTTGTTGTGCAGCAGACTGTCTCTGAAAGTCACACAGTGATTTAATTGGATTCCTTTAATTTCTCTCCATAGGTAAAAGCAGGGAACCTGAAAGTAGTCCAACTTCAATGGAGAACAGTAGAGAAGAGGTAGGAATAAAAGTGCTCTGGAATATTGCGTAACTAGTGCAGAATGGCTGTCACAGGAAATGCTGAGTTAACTTTGTTGCTTTTACAATAAACGTTTACTGGATGTTTCTGACAGTGTTCTTTCAATGTCGTATCTACTGAATAGAAACATTAGATGTAAAATATTTAAAAATAAATTTAAATATAACTATAAAATTTTGAATGATACTTATTTTGATTTTTGCATATACAAGCAGTCCTTCTCTACAGCCTACTCCCCTTATTTCTAAATTAATGCACAAATTTACTTGGACAACTTCATCGTCTTTCTGATGCACAGTAATTCCTGGGAAAAATGTCTTAAACACAAGAGAGTTAGGTTTTACTTACCTGAAATATGTGATTTAATTTCTGTTGAGAAATGCAAAATGCTGTTAAAGTATAATGACTTCTTGGAGTCTTACTGCTGATCTGAAACTTCATAGATTTAGTTTAATTGAACTGGCATGACTATTGAAAACTTTTTGTTTTATTTTTGTTTCATTTGCTACTTTGTTTTTGTAAGAGCACTGGTGATTTCTGAGATGTCTCCTTGTTAATAAGAAACTATTCTTGTTGTCATGTCACTTGGTCACAAATCTGTTAACTTTAATTTTTTCTTGTTTTTAGGGCAATAGTTCTTCAGAAAGAAACAAATCCATAGGATCATCACGTTCAAAAAGGTTGGCTTGGAAAATGAAAATTAATAAATTACATTTTGGCATGTGAAACAGAAAAGTCCATGGACTGTGCCAGATACTTGTAGTGTACACCAATATAGGTCCGTTAAGTCAGCAGAGTGCTGGTAAAACAAATGCCTCATTGCAGACTTAAAATTCAAACCATATTTTTTGGTCAAAGGTTAAAGCTAGATTTTTATCAACAAAGACAAAAAGATTATTGTTTATCTTCAGGGCAAAGGTGATTATACAATTGTTCCTTCACCCTTCCTATTTGTACAGCCAGGATTCTTCCAAAAATGTAAGCTGGATCATATGGAAAAAAGACTTTATACATCTTACTGTTGGGAGACTTTACAATCAAACTCTGCTGTTAAGTTGACCTGTGCAGAAACTGCTATTTGCTGTATTTTGCTTAATTCCTTTTTGCTCTTTGATTTAAAAAAATCACTGTTGACCATCCAAGTTGACCCTACTGGAGACAAATTATTTGTGACCTAAATAACAGCGAACTTTTAGAGTAAAACTCCTCATCTTCTGCTTTCAGCTGATGTCATTCAAGTTATGTCCTTCATAAATTATTTTTAAATCCTAGCATACTGTGTAGATAGGTAAGCTCTTCTTCCAAATGCACTATTTCAACAGCTGCCTTCTTACTGCTCTTTAACAATGTTGTACATCTCTTTTCAGTCCTTCTAATCAAAGTTTGTGTATTTTATCATGTCTGCTGGAATTAAATAATAATCTTCATTTTCCCTTTTCTGTTTGTTGTGATTCCATATTTGCAACTGTGGTTTTATACTTGGCTTGAATTTCTCCCTCATCTTCTGAATCCAGCATCCTGCTAAACTCTTTGATTTATATAATTTTAGTTTTCTGCTTCCTATCACTGAAGGTATTTTCACTCATGCATTTATGATAACTGTGCCTGGTACTGACAAAAATGGTATTCTGCAGCAGTTCCTGGTTACCTTCAGACTATTGAAAATTTTGCTCAACATTCTTATTTTTTAAATTTTTCTTTTATCCCTTACCTTCCATAGTAGCTTAATACATTTTAATGGATTCAGTTCTAAATTATGTTTGTATGAAATTCTGGTAACTGGTGTTTTTATTCAACAATCAGCTTGTTAATTTCATTCTGCATTTCTTCTATTTCCTTGCAAGCATCTTCTCTCTCAAGCTGCTTTTTGTCATTTGCTAATATCTGTGTTCTCTTTGCACTGCCTGTTGAACTTGGAATGATGTGTAAAATTTCTGAGCAGACCCTGACTTTTGTTACATTCAGGTTTTTTTCCTTCTTCAGACATATCAAACCTTCTCAAAAACATATCAAACCTTGATTTTACAAAAAAAAATAAAAATACAGCAAATCTGTGGAACAAAAATACTTTCTTGGTATATTTTTTCATTTCACATAGGAAGGAAAATTCCAGTTCCTAACAAGAAAATTACCCTACAACTTACTGATTGTAATAACTCAGAGCATCCCACCTTGTCATTTCTTAAATTAATTTAAAAATAACATAGGTTTTCCCAATTCAGGTGGTGTTTTGCTTGCAAAGCACCAGGCTTACCTGTATTGCAGTATGTAATATTTGTCATGCTATGGGTTTTTTTCTGTTTATGCAGGAAACCTACAGTTGTAACAAAGTATGTTGGATCAGATGATGAGCAAAACTTAGATGAAACTCTAAATGAAGATGTTTCAAATGAAAACTCAGAAAACGATGTTGATATGAAAAGTTTACCTAAAGGTAATCTTATCTCCTTCTTTGCTTCTGAATTCAGCAAATTAACCAAGATTATGATGCAGCATAAACAATTAACTAGAATGCACATGTATTAGTAAAATGCCTGTCTGAGGTCCTGTTGGCTTTTATATATCAACAGAAATGCCTGCACGCACACACTCACCCTGTGCATGCACATTTAGGAGAGGAAACCCAGCAGCTTTAGTTTTGAACCCAGCATACTTTCATCTATGGGTACACCAGGATGTGCTGGTGGCTTAATTTCAAATGTCTACTGATATCTGTATAAAAGCAACATGAAACAGGGGAAGTAATGGATTTCTGTTCTCTTGTAGACTTCTCAGACTCTGTCACTTTCAAGTCTTCCTTATTTTACTCTTCTGTCTTAAAATAGATCTTAGAATAGTAAGATCAACAACAGCAAAACTAAATATTGGGGGTGGATGTCATTATTTGTTCTATATTTAAGCACCCTTTTTAAACAGTACTGTAAGCCCGCATTCTACTCTCCTTAACCATAGCATGAATTTGATTAGTCTCTTCCATTTCTTACGTATGGAAGTTAACAGGAAAAATGGAGAGACCTCTGCCATTTACTGCAGAAGTAACAGTATTTCAAGCAACCACTTCAAATTTACTTTCTTAGAATGTTAGATTATTTCCAGTGTCCTCACAACAAAAGTATTAAAACTGAGCTCTTAAGTAGGAAAGATTTTTTTTCATTCACATAATTTGGATTAGTACTCTTCTCTGTTTAAATAAAAAAGTGAAATTTTGAATTGATGACAAAACAGGTTTTATTAATTTGCTTTTTCATTTATTTCTTACTGACATTTAGGATGAGGGAGACTGGGTAGAAGGGGGAAAAAGAGAAAAGAGTAGTTACTTTAAGGCTTTTGATAGATTCAAGTGACCTAAACAAAAGACCCTTATTTGTAGCACTGCACTGCAAATTCTTGTCCCACACACAGCCAGCAGTATGACAGTCCTGTTCTGCACATACCACTTCAGGCCAGAGAGAGCAGAATTTGCTCCTTGTAGCCTGTTCAGTCTTTGGCTTTTGTCCTGCAGCTGCAAGACAGACATAGTTTGAAGTGTGTGGTGGTCTTTTTGGTTGTGTTGGTTTTTTGTGTTGTTTTTTTTTTGTTGTTGTTTTTTTAATGTGAACATTTGTGCATTCAAGAATTTTGTTGAGTTTAATCAACAGATTGCACTTCTTTTTAATAGGTGCTGTGTCAGCTTTTATTTAAACAGAACTTTTGCTCTTCATTTGGATGAGTAATGGTTTCCAATTTCTAAATAAAATTATTCTAGGTACAGTGGTTGTACAGCCTGAGCCAGTGCTGAATGAAGACAAAGATGATTTTAAAGGGCCTGAATTTAGAAGCAGAAATACCGTTAAAATGAAACCTGAAGCTCCCAAAAAGCGTGGAGGTAAATACAATTTAAAACATTTATTAAAGCGGGTTTAAATTGTTGCTTATGACCACATTTGGTACATCTAAAAATTGTTCCTATTTCTGATAAATAATCCTAAAAATACCTCCACTCTTCTGGCTTTTTGTTCATTAAGGATTCTAGCTGGCCGAAATTAGCCTCCATTGCTGCCCCTGCAATGCAGCAGTGAAAGCTAAGATTAGTTCTCATTAAAGTTCTTATTTTCAGTAGGTATAGGATACATCATCAGGTACTCCATATGGATCCTTTCTGCTTTTTATTCAGAACAGTTAGCTGGTTGCAGTCAGGTGTTACAGGTATTCCTTTTTTATGGAATGATATTGGAAAACCATTGATGCAGAATTTTCACCAAGAAAGCAACCATATTTGAGCAGGGATGTTTATAGGCATATTATCAATCAGTGAGCTATCAGGAAGCCTAGTACCTGTAACAGTTCAAAGCCTTTTTTTTATTTTTAAATTGGGGGAGATTCCCTACTAGTGGCTCCTCTTCTAAGGGTTATATTTGAAAAGCTGTTGTGCCAGCACATTTTCTGTAGCTGCTGCTGAAACTGAGAAGTCAAGTAGGTAACAGTGACAAAAGAAAGAAATCTTAATTTTCCTTCCAAAAAGGAGAGGAGGGGGAGGGTTATGTGTAACGTAGTCAATAAGAACGCAGATATTTTCATTAATACCACCAGAGATATCTTAGTTTACACACTTACGGCATTAATCAGAATACTCAGACAAGTAACTCTTGTACACTATTCATTCTTCCCTTTATATCATTTGAGGTACTTGCTCTCTTTTAAAGTGCTATTATGGTATAATAAGTGCTATTTCTCCATCTGTGGTTGAAGAAGAGTAAAATTGACCATGGAAATGTGCTTGTGCATTCATATGGGCTCATGCATGATTTTAATCACGTTTTGAGCATTAATGTTTTCTCTGCATTATCTTTGAAAATCAGTTTTGTTCTGTTAATACAAGATAATATGTTCAACTTCTAGCAATGCTTTTTCCATTTGTGGTTTTTAACAATTTTACAAGAGGTCCAACATAAATCTTCAGGGGTATAGTGTTAAAGAGGTTGGACTCTTCTGCTTGACCTTTGTGGTCTGTGTTTGTATGCCTGGGACAATTCATATGACCTTCCCATTTTTTTTTCTCCATCTCTAGAGAATTTTTTGTATCTGTGTTACTACTGATAACCTTTTACTAGATTTTAAGGCTCTCCAGAACACATATTAAGCTCCGATAAACTTTCAGGGTAAATGGAGTAAGTACTGCCTGCTCCTGTGTTGTCCCTGTTTCCAGTCCAGGAAAGATAGCCAGCTAAGGGACATGACTGCAACCTACGTCTGGAGCAGCTGGATTAGGACTGTATCAAAGCAGTCTTGTTTTGTGACATGCACAGGAGAGGTAGTGCAAAATCCACTTATTCTATGCCTGTGTGTCTATTTCCATGAAGTGGGACTTACTGTGCCACTACTAGTGTGGGGTGCCGCCTCTGTGCACACATGAAGTTAAGCATTACTGGTTCAAGCAGGTAAGCATGTAGTTACAACTATTTGAGGTCCTAAATTCTGTCCACAATGCAAGTAAATAAATATTAACAATAAAATAGAAAATACCTGTCTTGTTCTTTGCAGGGTGCATCTTTGCATTTTTATTAGAGATTGTATGTCCCATTTATATTAGAAATAGTAGTAGCAATAGAACTTTTGCCGGTCTAGGTTTTCTCCAGAACTGTAAGAGGCCAAGTGCCAGTCCTTATTTTCAAGGTTTGTCTGCAGAATGGTTATGGTTGTGAATTTGCTAACAAACTCATAGTTAGGAAAGTATTTTCTCAGTAATAATGAATTAGTAGTTGTTTAATTTCTTCAAATCATCATAATTTGTGGTAATATGGATTATAAAGGGTTACCTTCTAAATTTTCCTTTCTTTTTTCTGGTGCCAACTTCCAAATTTTTAGGAAGGAGGCAGTAGTGCTCTCCCTTACAAGTTGTAGAGGAGGGGGGAAGTGTCTTGGGATTTAACAGCAGATAGCTTGTTCCCCCGCAGTTGCCTCTTGCCTTCTGATTTTTACACTCATTTAAGGACTATGTTGTTTGTCAAAGCCAGGGTAGGCTTCTCTGCTGCTGGGTGTAATAGACTGTGGTGTTCTTTTCCAAGTAGTCTGATATGATAGATGCATTTGAAGTTTACCAGCAGTGCTTGAAATAGGCGTTTGAGCTGGTTTTGAGGTCATGAGTTGCTTTGTGAGTCTGTGAACTCTGCAGTACAGACAATCATGCATATGTTGATGATGAAGACAACAAATCTTGTGTTGAGAATTTCAAACCTGCAGTTTTCATAAAATTATAGAATGGTTTGGGTTGGAAGGACCTTAAAGATCATTTAGTACCAGCCCCACTGCATCGGCAGGAACACCTCCCACTAGAGTTCTTACTGAAGAGTAAGGGTGTGTTAGTTGTTACTGGCCTATAAGCTAATTTTGATTGTGCTTCCATAGCAAATCACTGGTAACGGGCCTTGTGTCTTGAGAATGTTCATTCAGTTCCTTAACTGTGGTGTTGGTGCTTGGTTGTAATTCTGTGGTAGTGATTATTGGAGAAAAAGAAAAAAGGATATATATAGTTTTTACTCAGACTGTAACCATTAAGTATTGAAGTTCATTTCCTCGTGCTACTTTTGTAATATGACAGCAAAGGACAAGTCACAGTTCAGTAATCCTGTATCAAACCTCCATCTGCTTGATCCCAAATTAGTTTTTTTTTAAGTGCATGAGCAGAGTTTGAGCTTTCACAAGTGATTTTCCTTTTTCTTGAAAGCATTGCTGCTGTTGAAAACAAAACTGTCTCGTAGTATTAATTAGTCAGTTTAACAGCGTGGCATGTAGTGAGCCTCCCAACCCCAAGTTCCACCACCTTTCCAAGTGGTTTAAGATACACTTTCTTGACTGACTGTAGATACAGCAGCAGAGACACAGACTATGGGAGCTAATCGGCAAGAAGGTGAGAACATACGTATTATTGCAAAATTGTTGTTACAAAAAAACCCTCAAAACCCCACCATAAAGAGGGGAACAAGAAGTGAAAGTACAGTTTTATTCAGATGCTATTGCAAGGATTTCATGCATATTTTGTAATGGTTTTCCATGTTTTTGTTTGTGAAAGTAGTACCATAATACAAACATTAATTAAAATGGTATTTTATGAACAAAGATTAAATGAAGTAAGTTGTAAAGAATATAAAGGCTGCTTTTAATGAGTTTAGTGATAACTCTTGCTTAGGTGTGTTCTCATGAGGTGACTGGTTAATCCAAATTAAACCTCTCAAAGGAAAAAATGTGTATCTTGATCCCAAGTGGAGCATAGAAATTTGAGGAAAGGTCTTTTAGTCTTTAAACAGCAAGTGGATAGAGAAAGATTTAACACTGAGTGGGTAGTAAACTAATGAAGACATGAAAAACATAACAAAGTGTTGTAAGAAAATGAAACAGGTATATACAGATTTCTTAAAAAAAAAAAAAAAGAAAACAATTAATATGTGGTTTATAATCCTCTCTGTAGAGGAAGGACTACATGGAATTGTAAGCTGTACAGCTTGTGGGCAACAGGTGAACCACTTTCAAAAGGATTCAATCTATAGACATCCTACACTGAAAGTTCTTATTTGTAAGGTATGTGGTAAACAGTTCTGCAGTTTGTACTGTTTGTTTTTGTTTGAAATGTCTTACTAGTTGATTTGGGTGGGGTCTTTGTTGGAGTCGTTCTTATTTATTAGCTGATAAACTTTTCAGTCTTTATCATTACAACTAAGGAGACTAAAAGCAGAAAACAAAATGGCAGTTACAGATTACAAATTATATTAATATTTTCTTAGATCCCAGTTAAACTCATTGTGGCTTCTTTGTAATCTATTTTTACAGTTTTAAAGCTATTAATTTTAGTGAACTTTTTCTGTTAAATGATCTGTGAAATGTTTGCCTATTCATAATGTATTATAAGAGCAGGTTCAATTCTAGATCTCCTGGTAAAGCATCATATATAAACCAGTGTTGGAATAAGAAGAGGAAAAGTAGCTTCCAGCGTTTGTTGTCAGTCCAAGCTGGAACGCTTATTGAAGGAAAAAAAATCAGTCAAATGAAAAATGGCTTCATCCTGGTGCAGACCAGGACACCATCTCAGTTTCACTTGTGTACAGCCCTGGACTACTGTAATTTATGTCAGCCTCTGTAAAAATGGTCTAGTCCGTAATCCAAAACCATCGTCTGGGTCTTCAACTACATGGTTTTGTGGTGGCTTTGGTTACGCCTTAAGTTGCCTACAATGGGAAGAGGTGAGGAACAGAGCAGGAAGGAAACATCCCCTACCTCTTATTGTCACGTCCTTTTAATTTTCAAAGAGATACAGAGACATCTCTCTTGCATATCTCTGTAGTTGTCGAAATTCTGTATTTATAAATATATCTGTAAAGGCAGCTACAGATTTGCATTGCAATGCATGTTTAGCGTTCCTCTTCTCTCGCCTTCAGTTTCTCCCCCAATTCCCAGATAATGCTGCATATTCAGCTGATTTACTATCCCAGGTGTGTCCATCTGTCTCGTCTGATGTTTTGGCTCATTTCTTCTATTTGTTCGGCTTATTTCTTTTTAAAAATATACTTTAGAAAAATCAGCTTAAAAGACAACTGTTTTCAGTTTTCATTGAAGGCCTCATTTTTGTTCCTAGGATTGAAAATCATTAATGTGTCTGTGTTTGTGTAATGCATGCAATAATCTGGTTCATTTTTTAAACATCTTCAGGGTTTTGGGTTCAACAGCAGCTCTTGACTGAGCTCTGCTAGATGCTCTGCTAGATTACTAATGTGGTATTTCCCAGAATTTTCTGTATCCTTGTTGAACGTGGCCTTAGTGTTAATGCAAGGGAGAGGAAAGGAAGTCCCTGATAAAATCCATGTCTTCCATTACTTTCTGTGCTTAGTTTTTTTCTTCTGCTTAGGAAAACAGACGCATACTTGAGAAACTGTTCTCCTTTAATTACAAATGTTCCCTTAAGTCTATAAACATCAGCTTTTACTGTTTGTTGTTGTTGTTGTTTGTTTAGTTGAACGGACATATAACTACATAACTGTACCAGATAAAGGGACATAATTTTAAATTCAGGTGCTGAAGCCACTTCTGGATTCTGAATTTACTGATTCACTGGGTAAAGGGGCAGAATTTAGCTAATACCTTTTATTAATTTCTATTCAGAGTATTCATTCCCTATTCAAATCTGGGAGAATGTTTTTTGCTAGGAGCTGGAAAAAAACCCCAAACCTTCAAAATTTGTTTTAAAGAATCCAGCAACTGAAGCCACTGCTACTACTAGCTGAGTTGTGTGTATTTTTTTTCTTACTAATATTGATTTCTCAATAAAAATGTGTAGTTTACATCTGGACATTGAAGCCTTGATTATTAACATTTATCAGGGTAAATACTGAAGACCATTCTATATGAAGCCTTACGGAATCGATTACTGACTTACGGAGAATATAGCTGAAAGTTGTACTTTATGTAGGATTGTGTCAGGGAAGATGTGATGTTGATTTACCTAGGAAATAGATGGAAAAAAACTTAGACATTTAAAGAGAAACATTTTTTATTCTAAAATATACACATACACAGCCATCAAATGAAGCCTATTTAATTTTCAAATAAACCTTGAGCCATCTAAATAAGCGGTGGTTTAGGACCTGTTGTATCTCTGGAAGGTGTGTTTTTGATAAACACAAATGTAAGAGGGTTAGAATGCTGAAGACCTTGCAGCTGCTGCTTTTAATGGCTTAATTCTAAAACATACTGAAATCATACAAATTGTCTCTTTCCAGACTTGCTACAAGTATTACATGAGTGATGACATTAGCCGTGATTCAGATGGAATGGATGAACAGTGCAGGTAGGTGTGCAAAACCTGAGAAAACAACCACAGCTCTTCTGCAATAATTAAATTTTTCATAGATGAAGACCAGCAGATAAGACCTCAATAAACAATTGTTTCTCACCAAGAAATGCTCGACCTGAGGGCTTTTGTAAATACTTGTTTTTTAGTAATTAACAGTAATTAACAATTTATAAGGAAATCCAATATCAAAGATGCTTGCAAGGTATCACATTTTAAAATAAATAGCATGCCACCTTACAAATACTTTCAAGCTGGGCATAGAATGTCACATTCAAAACCTTGTGAGTCACAGAAACTTAATTTTGCTAGATCCATTTCCCACTTTTGAAACATGTAAGTACTACTCTGTCCTTGTATCAAACATCTTAATATATAATCCCATCAAAATTGTGTAGTTTGTTATGCCTGTGAGTTTACTTGTCAGCAGGTTTTCAGGTTTTCATCAAAGACTGTGTAATAAAGATCAGTAAAGTTTGTGGGTTTTTGGTTTTTTTTCATATATGCCTGGATTAATAATATACCAGTTGAGGCCAGAAAGACCTAAGCTACTGCATTTTGTTTTAAAATAAAATAACTTAAAAATTAATATCAGAAGAAACATGGAAAATAAAATCTAATTATTTTTTGTCTTAAAATCAGTGCTGAAATTGCGTTAGGACCTTACTGACCATTTCAGCTTTGTGATCTAGTACCTTAATGGTAACCTTAGTGTTAATCTAGTACCTGAAAGAGGCCTAAAAGAAGGCTGGGGAAGAGCTGTTCATAAGGGTATGAAACAGTAGGACAAGAGGTAATGGTTTTAAGCAGGAAAAGGATAGATTTAGGTTGGATATTAGGGAAAATGTCATCTTCAATGTGACGGCGCTGGATCACTGGAATAGGTTGCTCAGAGAGGTGGTGGAAGCCCCATCCCTGGAGACATTCACGGTCAGGCTTGATGGGGCCCTGAGCAGTCTCTTTTAATTGGAAATACCCCTGCTTATTGTAGGGGGGTTGGACTAGATGACTGTTAGAGGTCTCTTTTAACCCAAGACATTCTATGATTCTGTCCTAATTTTCTGGCTTTCCAATTCTCAATTGAGTGCTTTTCAGCTGTGCTGCTAGGAGTGTTTTCAATTAATGGGTATGTGTTTATCACCTAAATTTTAAAAACACAGATTCTTGATCAAATAGTGAAACATATGCAGCCTTCTCAAATTTGTCACCTTTTTGCTACAGAGATAAGACTTACATTTCTTATGCCTTGTTTCAGGTGGTGTGCTGAAGGTGGAAATCTGATTTGCTGTGACTTCTGCCATAACGCCTTCTGTAAAAAGTGCATTTTGCGCAACCTGGGTCGAAAGGAGCTATCGACTATACTGGATGAAAATAACCAGTGGCACTGCTATGTTTGCCATCCAGAGCCTTTGTTGGACTTGGTCACTGCATGTGACAGTGTCTTTGAAAACTTAGAACAGTTACTGCAGCAAAACAAAAAAAAGATCAGAGTTGAAAGTGAAAAAAGTAAAATCTGTGACAATGCAGCCAAATTTTCTCCAAAGAAAAATAATTCCAGTTGTAATGGTGAAGAAAAAAAACTAGATGATTCACATTCAGGTTCAGTAACATACTCTTATAAAGCACTAATGGTGCCAAAGGACTTAGTTAAGAAAACAAGAAAGCTGGTTGAAACTACAGTAAACCTAAATTCTAGCTTTGTAAGCTTTTTGAAAACTGCTGCAGAAAATGCAGAAGCAAGGCCAAGTGTGCATCTTTATCAGCTAAAAGCTTTTAAATCTGTGTTGAATGACATGAAAAAAGCTCATCTGGCACTAGAAGAAGATCTAAACTTGGAGTTTCAAGCTTTGAATGTTAAAATCAAAGATAAAAATACCAAAGAGAAAAAACCTGATGTTAGATCAGAAAAAAATGAGGTGAAGAAAGATGAAGGAAAGGAACATGTGGCATTAAAAGAGAATGACACTGAAAAGGAAGTTGCATCAGAACAGCCTGACAGTGAGCCCATGGATCAAAGTGTTCCAACAGTGGAACAAAGAGATAAGAAGCGTTCTGCTGGTGAGGATAAAAGGTCTGGCAGAAATGAAGAACCTCAGTATGAACCTAATAGTACAGAGGCTTTAGACATGGATATAGTGTCCATTCCCTCATCTGTTCCTGAAGATATTTTTGAGACTCTAGAATCTGCTATGGAGATTCAGATTGCTTCAGATGAGCAAGACAGTGGAAATACAGGAACAGATAATGAGAATTCAAATTCAAATACAAAATCGAGCACTCCTGTGAAAGATACCAAAGGTGGTACCAAGTTAAAATCATCGGCTAAAGGAACAAAAGAATTGATAGTAAAATTGACTCCTGTTTCCCTTTCAGAGTCTACAGTTAAAGCTGAAGATCAAGACAGCAATCTAGGAGAGGAAAGTAAGGATGCTGATGCACTTCAAGCAGAAAATTCTGATTCTGTAAAACAAAATCATAATGCTAGCAGTGAACCTTCCACAGAGAACGAAATGGTCTCACCTGTAGAAGAATCTGATCTCAGGAGGTCACCACGTGTGAAGACTACGCCTCTGAGGCGCCAAACTGACATCAGTCCCTTAACATCAAATTCAGAAGAAGATAGCAATGAGGCATGTACTGACAAACGGAAGAGAAAATCATCAAAGCAACCAAGAAGGAAAAATGATAAAAGAAATCCTTCAGACAGTACTGTTGATGGTCCTAGCCCTAATAAACTTTCTAAATCTAAAAAGCCATATGTATCAGATCAGAGCTCAGATTCTGATGAGATGCCAGCTGTTCTTAAAGAAGTAGCTATGATGAGCCACAGTTCTTCAGATATTGATAGCAACAGTGAAGCACCAACAAATGATCAGAAGACTGGTGATTTGCTAAAGAATCAACCAGTAAAGGATGAAAACGGAAAACGAAAACGAAAAAGTTCCAGTTCCGGTTCAGATTTAGATGCTAAAAGAGGCAAATCGGCTAAAAATTCTGCTGCTGCTAAAAAGAAACGACAAAACTATTCGGATTCTTCAAACTATGATTCTGAGTTAGAAAAAGAAATTAAGATTTTGAGTAAAATTGAGTCTGCAAAAAAAGCTAAGAAAAGATACTCACGAAAAGAAGATAGTTATGATTCCTCTGAAGAAGAGCAGAGGAAAAAAGTAGGTAGTAAGCGAAAGGTAAATTTGAAGAAACGGAGAGATAAATCTTCTGATGATGATGATGCTGAAAAGTCTTCCACAGAGAAAGAAATTAATCGTTCTTCTAAAGATAAAAAAATTGGTAAAGGGTCAGCTGCCAAGGAAAGGATCAACAGAGACTTAAAAGAAAAAACTGTAAAGGGAAAGCATGATGAATCTTCTGATGTTGAGAAGTCTTCAGTGGAGAAAGAGGAGAGTGGTCCCAAAGGTGCAAAACTAACCGAAGTTAAGAAGAGCAAGGATTTGAAGAAGAAAAAGGCACAGGAAGATTCTTCCTCAGAGAGTACTGACAAATCTGTAAAGAAAGAGCACAATTCTGATTCTTCAAAAGAGAGATTGAAGAATAAAAAAGGATCAGAAAACAAAGCAAAGAAATCTGAAAAATTGAAAAAGAAAAGTTGCAAAAAAGAAGATGAATCTTCTTCTGATGTTGAAAAGTCATCTCCAGAGAAAGGAAGCTGCAATTCTTCTGAAAATGACAAAACTAAAGTTGAACCTGTGTTAAAAGAGAAGAAAAGGAGGAATTTAAGAGAGAGGGTAGCTAAAAGAGAACCAATTGATTTATCCTCTGATGCTGAGAAATCTCCCCTGAAAGAGGAGAGTTCTTCTGAAGATGCTGTGCGGAATAAAAAACAAACCGCATCTAAAGAAAAGAAAAAAATAAGTCACAAAAAGAAAATGTCCAAGAAGGAAGAGAATAACTCATTGTCGTCTTCTGATGAGGAGTCTTATGAAGACAGTAAGAAGATGATTAAAAGAGGGTCAGTAAAAGAAAGTAAAAAGAGTAACTTAAAAAAGAAAGTGGCAGAAAAGAATGTGGTTGTCACTTCATCTTCTTCGTCTGATAAAGAAGAAAATGATGAACAGAATTCAACAGGTGATGGAAGCAGTGATGAGCAGAAAATTATGCCAGTGACTGAAAACCTAGTGCTGTCTGCTGGTACAGGATTTTGTCAGTCATCAGGTGTGCAAAAGATTTTTATCTACATATATTATTAATGTACTAATAGAGGACATTTGTGAGATCTGAGTGACATTTAATAATCTAGAAGCAAATATATTCGTAGGTAGGTAAATATAAATTTAAATGTTTGCAGCCCATTGTTAGGTTTTCAGATATGGGTTTGGAAGCACCTATGTCAATTTGTGCAACTTGTTACTTGGGGGAAAAAAGGATGTGACTGTAAAATGAAGAGTCTTGAGAAGCTATA